GGCAATGTGAGACTCAATGAAACGACCTTTTTGACAACTCTTAGCGTCTGCGCGCGTTCAGGGTCTTTGAGTGAGGGAAGAGAGTTGCATTGCTCGGTGCTGAAAACTGGGACGGAGTGTTTTGAGCTAGTGGGGAGTTCTCTGTTGCATTTCTACTCTAATTGCCTTAAAATTGAGGATGCTAAGCGGGTTTTTGATGAGCTGCGTGGTGGAAATGAGTTGTTGTGGAGCTTAATGCTCGTGGGATACGTGCAATGTAATTTGATGGGTGATGCTATGGAATTGTTTCTAAAAATGCCGAAACGGGATGTTGTGGCATGGACTACGTTGATTTCAGGGTACGCTAAGAACGAGGATGGCTGTGAGAGAGCCTTGGAGTTGTTTCAATGGATGAGGGGGAGTGGTGAGGTGGCCCCTAATGAGTTTACGTTGGATTGTGTTATAAGGGCTTATGGGAGATTGGGAGTGCTGTGTGCAGGGAAGGCTGTGCATGGACTTTTGATTAAGTATGGTTTTGAATCTGAAGAATCCATTGGTGGTGCTTTGATAGAATTTTATTGTGATAGTGAGGCTGTTCATTGTGCCAAGAGAGTTTATGATCGACTAGAAAACCCATGTTTAAATGCTTCAAATTCGCTTATCGGGGGGCTTGTATTGATGGATAGGATTGAAGATGCAGAAAGAATTTTTAGTAGACTAAAAGAAAAGGATCCAGTTTCATATAATTTGATGATCAAAGGTTATGCGATGAGTGGTCAAGTTGATCAGTCGAAGAGGTTGTTTGAGAATATGAAGCATAGAACTATAATCTCTTCAAATACCATGATTTCTGTGTATTCTAGGATTGGGGACATTGATAAGGCTTTTAAGCTTTTTGAAGAAACGAAAAGGGAAAGGGATCCTGTAACATGGAATGCCATGATCTCAGGTCACATTCGAAATCATCAGCATGAGGAGGCTTTGGAACTATATGTGACAATGCACAGATTGTCAATTGACCGTACAAGATCAACATTCTCTGCTCTGTTTCATGCCTGTTCATGCCTTGGATCTCTTCAATTGGGACAAGTACTTCATGCCCAGTTGATTAAGACACCATTCGAATCGAATGTGTATGTTGGAACATCCCTAATAGATATGTACTCAAAATGTGGAAGCATCAGTGATGCTGAAACATCATTTATCTGCATTCGTTCACCAAATGTGGCGGCTTTGACAGCTCTCATTAACGGGTATGCGCAGTATGGGCTTGGCTCTGAGGCAATGTTGCTGTTTGAGCAAATGTTAAAGCAAGGAGTCATCCCTAATGCTGCTACTTTTGTGGGGATTCTGTCTGCCTGCAGTCGTGCTGGTCTGGTCGACGAAGGTATGAGAATTTTCCACATGATGGAAGGAAGTTATGGAGTAAACCCAACTCTTGAACACTATGCATGCATAGTGGATCTTCTTGGTAGGTCTGGTCGTCTACGAGAAGCTATGGAGTTTATCGATGAGATGCCGATGGAACCAGATGGGGTTATCTGGGGAGCTCTGCTAAATGCTTGTTGGTTCTGGATGGACATGGAACTGGGTGAGAAGGTGGCTAAGAAAATGTTTAGCTTGGATCCCAAGCCAATATCCGCTTATATAATTTTGTCTAACATATATGCAGTACTGGGAAAGTGGGGGGCAAAGATGAATGCAAGGAAGAGATTGAGAAGCTTGGAAGTGAAAAAGGATCCTGGATGTAGTTGGATTGAGCTGAACAGGAAAGTTCATGTGTTCTCTGTAGAAGACAATACCCATCCTCATTGTAATCTGATTTATGAAACGTTGGAGTTTCTGACAGCAAATATAAACTCTATTGTTCAGTTCGGTTGTCTTTATGAAACATACTCTCATTGACGAAACTCACACTGTCTATCCTTTTTCTTTCTTTGCTTAACTTTAAATTGGATCCTTGAAAACAATAAAAAGTAAAATGAAATGCTAGCTAAAGTCTCAGTTATAATTTTAGATGTTCTTCAAGTGATACAGGACATGATTTAGAGGGGCTTAGATAAGAAAAGAAATTCATCATTATCTTCTCAAGATACTGCGTAAACAGTTGACACACTTCATATAAATTGAGAAGAATTTGTGTGGCAACAATTAAGAGCTCTGTTTTGCAACACCTGCTGCTTTCACCACCCCTTGGGAGGGTTATTGACGTTAAATGGTAATTGCTGTGCGAAACAGTGATTTAATTTTTAAGTACCTGTGAGTCTGTGACAAAAATAGGAAATGTAGATGTGTTAATAGCACAAACCTATTAATTAATCCCTTGAAGAAACATAAAATATGGAAGCAGTGAATCTAAATCAAACCTGGAGCATACTTTCTTCAACTTTCGGTATTTGCACTCTCGCAAATCACAACTTGTTTGGGGTTTTTGTCATTAACCTCTTCAAAATCCCATTTGTTTGGTAATTCCTGAGTTCCCTTTTCCTGTAACTGCTGTTTGGATTTATGAGAATGAGTTCGTTCTTGTGCACACCCACAAAAGTTTGGGCTCAATGGCCAATCAATCAACCAAACTCGCACTTGGCTTGAGCTTTGACCCTTTGACTAAAAATTGAAAGGGAAAAAGTCACTTTTGATCTAGAGGTATGAACATTAGAATTGTTGTCGTAGAAGAATAGATGGATGTTGATGGTGGTCGACAGTCTACAGTGTCGTATATAGTACGAGGTGCACAGTATGGAAAGTTGGAAGCAAAGCAAGTACCTTTGGCTTTCTTTGTTAACCATTGGAAATTCCTTTGTGTCACACTTTTTATATATAATAGTGTAAGGACAAAAGTTGAAAATTCCTTTGGTGAATTATTGAAGAAGATGATGCATGTGACCCGAAAACAAACAACATTATTATGAGGACGAAAATACCATTGAAGTGACCGTTTATGTACTTATCATATCAAGCATTTCAATGTGTCTCTAATTTAATGCACACTGCTCTTAAATCTTTAATTAAATGATGGAATTGTATTGGGCCCAATATATCTATGGCTCAATATATTGCTATGGATCCAAGGATAGAATAGTAAATCTCCTTTTCTAATTTTAGAAAGGAATACCCTTTTAAAAAAAAGAGAATAAAAATGCAATTTTTACCTTATTTGTTGGCTGGTCACTGAGCTGCTAAACAAATAGTAAAATAAGAGAAACTAGTGTTCCATCATCCACGCATGATGACAAAGGTAAAGAGATGAATGAGCCTTTTGGAGACAAAGCAGATAGGCAAGGCAAGTTTATATATATATATATATATAGCTAGGCTTTTTCCCCATTGCCATTTCTTCCTTGTTTCTTCTCTGAGCTCTGTGTTGTCAACTACAAGTCTACAAGCCTACGAGTCAACAAACCCATTTTGTAGTTTGTTGGGGGCAGCAGCAACTTGTGGTTGTGGCTTCCAGATCAAAGAGATATATATTCCCTTTTCTTTCTTTGAATTCCACACTCATATATATAATACTAGCAAGTTACAAGCGCAACCCAATTTACTACGTTTCTCTCATTCCTTATTCCATTCCTCTTTTTCTCCTCCATTTCCCTTTCTTTTTTAGTCTGGTTTCTAATGCAGACCATGGACCGATGTCGTCGAAAACGACCCAAAACCGCCACTTCTGAGTCTGACGGTTGGTGCTTCATTCCTTCTCCATTTTATGTTCCCTTTCCAACAAACTTTCATTTCTAATTAAGTAAGTTCGTCTGTCTTCTTTGTTTAGTTGTAAGAAAGTTTGTCTGTTTGATGAAACTTTCATTTGATGTCCTTTTGTTTTCCCATCTACTTGGGCAGAGGTTATTAGCAATGAATGGGAATTCATAAACATGACTGAACAAGAAGAAGATCTCCTCTATAGAATGTATAGGCTCGTTGGGCCCAGGTAATAACTTGTTTATTTCCAAATCCAAATTATTAGTATCTTTTCTTTTTCTCATTATTAATACATAATAATTATCCAAGCCATACACAAATATGGAGTTGATAGCATGCAGCACAGCAAACTCTGCACATGGTTAATCGAAAAAAGATAAAGAAAAAGCACTTACATCCCAAATTCCAAACTTTCCTTCCATCTCAAGTTGTAGAGTTTGTCTTTTCTATTGTCTCATCGTCTTTCAGATTTTACTGTTCCGAACATTAACTGTACTCTAAAACCCCAGCTGCCTTCCACGTTGCTACCCTTGAATATTTCCGTCCTGTGTCCAACAGTCAAGAGTTGACCTTAAATCCTTGATCCATACATATAAGAGTGTCCTTAATTATCCCTTTGCAGTTACTGCAAAACAAGATATCTGAAACAGTTGTGTTTCAAGTCACGTGAAACCATCCAGCATGAATTCTACAGCTTGAATCTGGAGATGTAACAATATTTGTTATCTTGGCTTTTAATGTTATGGAGATTTGCATATACAAATACCGTGGTGTTAATTTTTTATTTATTTTCGCTGTCTTGGTTTCAGGTGGGATTTAATAGCTGGTCGGATTCCAGGTCGAAAACCAGAAGAATTAGAGAGGTTTTGGATCATGAGACATTGTGATACGTTTGCTGACAAAAGAAATCAGCAAACGAAAGACAACTCTAAAAAATGTTGGTCGTCGAATGTTTAATGGCTTCAAGTAGTTGTCTTCCTCTTGGATGGTTATTGTGGCTTGGCTTCTGTCTGTTTCTTGTGCAGTAGTTTAGTTCTTGCAGTTATCCCTCTGTCTCTTTCTCTGTTTAGGTTAACTCTGAAAGTAAATTCTTTCCCTAGAATCAGGAACCCCTCCTGAGGGCTGTAAGAAAAGAAGAAAGAAAAAGAAAATGCTTGGCAAGGTGAATTTCATGATGAACATGAAATATTTTGAATTAAAAATTGCTAGCTAGTTCAAGATTTCACATAGAAGCAAAGCAGCCATGATCTCTGTTCGCATAAGTTTGCAAATAGCAGTCGGTTGTTTCAGTGTGCTAAAATTGCATTTTGTAGCTGTACAGAATATTATCGTATAAAGGGTCGAAAAATATTATATTTCATGTATCATCTATACATGGGTATATACGGATTCTCAAGTCTTAAGTCATCCATATGGATTTAGATGGTATGAGAACTCTATGTTTACTGGTTTACTGTTTTGAAATTTCTTACAGCCTTACTTTGGCCTAGTTAAAAGCCTATGGTACGGATGACTAGCATACAGCATATAGAATATCCAAAGGTAGAAGGTTTTTTTAAGGAGATCATACTGTGTCGACCGCTTTATACTACATATCTGCGAAGATAATCTACTCGAGCTGGATGCTTCAGCTTCATGAGAGCCTTAACTTCATGCTTTCGAACCATTTCTCTTGAAATATTCAAGTTTCCAGCAATCTCCCCTAACGTTCTATCGCCCTTACCATCAAGCCCGTATCTCTGTCTGATCACCAAGCTCTCTTTGGGCTTCAGTGAATCAAGCTGGTGAGAGAATATTCAGAGAAAGGATTAGCTACCATTGAATGCAAATGTACACTGCAACTTAGGAAGAGTAGACTAAGTAATGATGAGCAACCTGAAACTTTGAGAGCTCATGAAGTGTGACAGGTGCTAAAGCCAAGTCAACTAAATGCTTAAATGGTTTGTGCATGTCACTTTGTGTTTCTAGCTAGTAATTAAAAATGAAGCTTAATAATCCTGAAAATGTCTAGCTAACAATCAATCTTCAAACAGAGAAAGCAGTGCAGTGTTAATATGAGGTTATCGGAGAGGGTAAGTAAATACCACATCATCAAGAGCAAGCCTGAGAAGGGCAGGTTTCCGCCTGTTTTCACCCTCTACACCATCAACATCAGTAATACCATTTATAAACTCCTCTTGTGTGGTTGTATGCCTTGAATGAAGAGAGAAAACAGGTTTCGAGGCCCTCATTACTTCATGGTACCTCTCAGGGGAAATTCCAACCTTTTCAATTATCTCGTCCACTGTTGGCATTCTTTTAAGCGCAAACAACATCCCAAGCTTAGCTTTTTGGATTTCCGCCCTAACCTGCACAAAGGAAGAGTGAAAACCATAAGTTTCCATTTTTGCAACTTTCATTCTTTTCCTTTCCCCTACTAAACTTACCATTACATGCATTTTTTGGTTAGCGCAAATTCAGTTCCTAGTAGTATAATGCTGCCATTCTTTTCCCCTCTATCATAGAAATTGGTTGAATCAACAATTCAGACAAAGGTCTGAATCCTGTATTTAAGTTCAAAACTTTTTTTTCCTAGTATGCAAGGCTCTGCAGCATAGGACCAGTTATGTGAGCTAAGATAGCCAATGTTCATGCTTCTGTAGGATTGTTGTCAAGTGATTCATGGCAATGATTATGCAATTGCGAACAAAAATAACCATAGCCTAGCTTAGGTAGAGAAAGAACTTACTGATTCAAGGCCAAATGAGACACGAGTAAAGCTTGAGAGTGTCATGGAGCGTATGATGGCATGCCTGATCCAGAACAGACCATATGTGGAAAGCCGGAAACTTCTTTTTGGTTCAAAGCGATCAATTGCTGTAATAAGTCCCTTCACTCCTGCCTGGCAAAGGTCTTGAAATTTTGGGCCATTTGCGAAGTCTTGAAAATATTTGTTCATGACAAATAACACAAGTCGGAGATTGTGCTGCAACACATATCAACATTTCAAGTTAAATTCTCTGCTTCACATTTGAAACGACAAATTCTTAATCAGTATGCAAGACTGGATAAAGTAAAGCTGCACATAAAGTGGGTCGAAAGCAGGACAATGCTTACCTTGATGAGCTTGCTTCGTGCAGCTCGACCAACTTCCAAATGTTTTTTCACTTGAACCACACTCATATTTGTCGCCTCAGCTAATTCACCATTGGTTGGTTCTCTCCCCAAACCTTTTTGTAAATTCTCTTTCACTTCAAGAAGACCCTGAATCATGGCAAACATAATTATTCAGCAGCAATATACAACCCACACAACACAACACATGTACAATGCTACAAGCCAATTTTTAAGACTAAAGCCAGAAAACAGAAACTTTAGAAGGCTCACCTTCATAGGTTGCATTAGCTTGAACAACCAAGCATGCTCTGAGGATGTAAGAACTGGAGGAATCTTCATCTTTTTCCAGTCCAAACTAACCAGATCAGTTGAAGCCGAATACTCCCTTACAAGCTCCTCAATCTTTTCATTTTCGTTCTTTCTACTTTTTCTCTTTCGAATTATGGAAGCAATCGCGTTTTCATCCTTATTCCATTTCAATGCAACCCTTTTATCAAGACTCAGTCTTTTAGCCTTCTTTGTCCTGTTCCTAACCACAGTGTTACTTGTTCTGTTCTCTTCTTTGTCATCATCACTTTCACTTGTCTTCTTCCTCCTTTTGCGACCTCTTCTCATCAAGCCATCTACATGTTCCACATCTGAATTGGCTTCAGTCTCGGGGCTACGCTTGTATAAGTTTTCCAGTTTGGCAGCGGCTTCATTGTAATCCAATTCCAAGGTACAAGGAGAAGCTACATCTGTAGTGGCAGACTTTACACTTTTTGCAAGTTTCCTAGCTTTCCCTAGTCTCTTTTGGTGCTTCTTTCGTGTTTCTATAGGCAATGGTATTTTCTCCTGGGGTGCAACCAAGGCGGTCTTATTTGCTTCATCTGTTTTAAATGCAACAATCAATGGCTTTCTCAACGTAGATCTCTGACTTGTCAATTTCGTGCTCAATCCTAATGGAGTCCTTGAAGCTGAGCTAGACACTGTCACAACTCCCATGCCAAGTTGCCAAAGAAAAAGTCTTAGTGATGAGTCAGAGCTTTCTTTATGCACAAATTCTGCAACCACACAGAAAGAAATGCACCCATTTTAAGCTCTTCCCCTTTCTTGTACAAACGCACATTACAATTACTAAAAATATGCAAATAAACAAATAAACTCTTCATTGTTACTTATTGTTAGCAGACCCCTCCTCATATTATAGCCCACTAATAACACTGTTTAAGAAGTGAATCCTGCTTACTAAGCTCAAGTTGATACTCCTAATTCCCATCTCTTCATCAAGTCAGAAGCATATAAGTTTTGATCGAATAAACTTCACAGTGAGAGTGAGGTACTAAACTAGACTCATTTTGTTTACCAATACTATCAAAACTCATTGTTCTGTGCGATAGAGACACTTCAAAATTCATCTAAGAAGCAATATATAATAAAGCACAAAAGAGAAAAGAAACCAACTAAAAATTCAGAACATTACTGATCATGAAACACATAAAAATAAAAATAAAAACACAAAGAAATGCAGGCAAAGTGTCAAACTTTGTATCATAGTTTTTCTAGGACCACAAACATAACCCACTGCAAACAATCATACCTCTGTTGCAGAAAACAATGCCCGAACGATCCGGTGACGAGAATTTCGGAGAATCTCGGAGTAAGAATTAAGAAAGTTCGAGACGTTTTTGGTAAGAACGAAAGTTGGGGACTTTAATAACGTAAACACGCTAATTACGGTGTCCACAAATTACAACTCTGCAGAATCAACGGTTGGGACTTTACTGGTCTTTCAACGCCACGGCAGACAATTGCACACGTACATCGTAGAAGACTGGTATGGTGACGTGGGTGGTGTTGGAGCAGAGAATGGTCTTTGTGAAGCTCTGGCGTGGCGGGTCCTTATTGGACGATAAGATATCTGCGGAAGCCTGTGGATGAAGTTGGTGACACATGGGCTGGTTCCTATTCGATGTGGTATTCTTTTGTCATTTGTGGGACCTACTTAAGTGTGGTGGTCTTTAGCATCTTTACGTTGCTCAATGTCAGCCATACTGACACTGTAAGTGTATCTTAAAAATAAAAAATAAAAAAACTATATACTACTTGTTTTTTTAACAGAAAATTAGGTAGTAGTTTTTTTATTTTTATACAAGCAATATTATGGAATGTGAAATTTGAACATAGGATCTCGAGTGTAGAGGTATTACTCTCGACGACTACTTGAGTATACTAGTTAATTTAGTTTCGAAATTAGAAAAGTATAAAATAAAAAAAGAGAGAGAAAAGAAAAATAGCATTATCACCAAAAGGCCCAGAATGAGTTTGGGCTTCGGCCTCCTCCTCACTAAAATAGGCCCAAAATTAGACTAACGCGATTGGCCCATGAATCGGTATTGGGCCTCTATCTCATTATTAAATCCGACCGGTCGGCAAATATTTTCAGATAAGGCGACAGATCTTGGGCCAATACGGTCTACTTTGACTTCCAGGACTTGAATTCTGCTCTAACTTTGCTCACTTCCAATTCCAAACGATCTTGCACATTTTGAATTAAGGCAGTGTTTGGGGTGGGCTGTGTGTTGTTCATAATCTTAACGCAAATTGCACAAGTTGAACGTTAATGTGCATTGGAAGAGCCAGAGAGGGTGATGTGTCTTTCACTTTTCTTAACACTAAACAAGAAGTTCGATAGAATCATTTTTTCCTCTCAACTTTGCAATTTTTGAGAATATGCCAATACAATTTGTCACCGAAGAAAGATTAAGAATCCCTATAAACTTTAAAAAATAAAAGATTCTGTTGACATAAAAAAAAATAACACCCAATACACACACGATAATGTAGGATCTAACTTTATAGCACAACTTATAAAGTCAACCACTCAATTAAGAGTATGGATGTTTTGGTCAGACCGACGATTGATCATCCACTGGTGATTCGACTACTAAACATCTTAATTAAAACGCCGGTCACCCACATACCTGATCCAAACAAACGGAGAGCATGATGATGGAGAGTGGTAATAATTCCCTTGACTAAAAAATAATATTGTTCATATATGATACATTTGTAATCTCTCTCCATCATCAATCAAAGAACTTTTCCTTTGTTCCTTCCTTTTGTTATCACTTAGGCTATCCTAATCTTCCCCATCCTATAAACCATTAAGTGGTCAAGGTTGTTACGTTGATTACTGAGATTTCACAAGTTAACATATTCTATGAGATACATGCCCTCCACTTGGATCCTTGTAAAGTTAATACATAGTAATTAACCTAAACCTCCCCCTTTGACTCAAATAATAAAAATGTTGGAATGGAAAAAGTCACATGGGACGGTCCTACTATTTCCACGCGGCTAAACTAATAAAAATCTTTGGGTCAACAACAACTTGGCATCTAGAAGGAGGTTGTAGAAGAGACATTATGAGATGGGATTGCGGCTCCGGCTACGTATCAACGAGACTTATGCAAATGCAAATTCTCTCCATTTTCGGGGCATCGCACTCAGCTTCACTTTAAGAGTCCCATTTCCTTGTTCCATTCCACATACTCATCATAGAGTCTATAGAGTCTATAGCTAAGCCCCAATCATTGAATTTCTTTTTGAATTGGTCAAATTTTTGTTTTGAATGGTTCATGTTTACATGTGGCAAAAGAAAATTAAACATTGTATGTTGGTAGTTATGGGTTTATTATTGTCCTTTTATCAGTTGAAGAAAAAGCAGGACACTCAGTGGAATTAATGTACATAGACATATAATATATAAATTGTTTAAGGTCTTATGTTTACTATTTCTTTAATTAGATTGTCACCCTCCTCAATCTATCATCACGTACGTCAAA